TTTTTTTTTTTTTTTGTTTGGGGGGTGGCGTTTTATGGCTTTTCAAGGGTGCTGGCAAAATTTGACGTTCCACGACCACCCTACTCTGAACTACACGTACGGAAGTTTTGACGGATGCACATATATATATATATATATGTAATATGTATGTATATTTTTTTGATATAGATCTTTTCTGCATCTACATCTACATATCGAACATATAAGCAAGTTTACCTTGGGCAGCCTGACTCTGGGACAGCGAGATTCCTACATGTGTCTGGGACATCTTGAAAAAAGAACCGAATTCGAATCCCTTGCTTTCCAGCCTATAGCCAGTAAGTCTTCGGGGATGCGCGGTTCCATAGAGACAGCGTTGATGAAATAAATTCTGCTTTCTCCACCATCAGGTAGGCACCATCATTCCTTCAGCTAGGCCTCAGGCTACCTAGCATAATGCAGGATTCTATCCATCAGTAGGATTTATACTCCTGAGCCGTAAGAAGAGAAAATGCAACAAGTTTAGGCCGCAAGTGAGCCTACAAATAGTGAGCTTGGGCTGTATGATCCAGATAAGCAAATAGAACTAGCAACCTGCTGAAAGCCGAACACAACGGATAGCTCCTTGGCTGCTTGCGGTCGTACCTGGATCGAAGGGAATGGATGCAGGGGGTTTGGAATGTAGGATTTGTGGGGGGCTAGGTCCTTAATGTTTTTCGGTCTGAGGCACGGATGCAGCATTTGGGGGTAGGTTTGCCTGATGCATTGCTAGATTGAGACCCACGTGGGAGAGTTTAGGAATAGGCATCGGGGCCGTCGGAGCTCGTAGCCGGAAAAAAAGCGCTTTGTCACAGTTGGATAGAGTTTGGCCTCTTTTTTGGTTCCCGCAGGACAAGGATCCTGTGTACCCATAGGCCCTAAAGTAGTTCCTTTTGGGGGTTCGTATGTGGAATCCTATGAGGTAACCCCAAAAAGGAATACTTGGGGGCCTATGGGTAGAGTTGAAGCCGTCTTTGAGGAAGGTTTAACTTCCGGGCCCATTGCGGTATTTGGCAAAGCTAGCTGCAGCGCATGCCAAGATTTTTCTCTAACCCCCCAGGTACTATATAGGGTACTAGAGCCCCTATAAAGCCTATATAGAGTAGGTACCTGGGGGGTTAGGGTTTGTTGAACCCCTCAACATCTGACAATCTTGCGTGACATGAGCCGAGTTTGCAAGCGACGCAAAACAAATTCCCAAGCCCGCAATCCGGTTTGGGGGGTCTAGTTTCCGGACGGCGATCCCATCTCCGGAACATGTCCAGAAACTTGGAACCTGGAAATCCGACGTGCTGTTCGACAAAAAGTGCAGACGTCCGTGGTAGAAATATTGCCAGGTGACTTCTGATGCTCACGGAGTCGTCTCCTACAGCAGGGTTACTTGCATCTTATAGCTTTCTGATAGGGGGGGATACTCGGCGAGTTATAGAGCTGTCTCACGGTTTTCACACGGGGCTGCTAGAGGACTCATCTGCCTTTTGATTCTTCCGCCGACAATTCGCTAAAGAAAGTTGGTCTTCGCTTGGGGGTCTGCCGGGGCTGAGGTGCACATGCCCTGGGCTTGCTCCCTTGAAATTCTCAGCAGCCTCTGCCAGTGAATCTTCATGGCAGTATGACTATAAGGGATATATGTTGCGGGGGGGCGGCTTACCATGTTTATGGTGTATATCATAGTTTACGTTTAGTAAAGCACTACTGATTTAAACAATCTTGTATATTCTATCCTACATACTCGATAGAGCCCGAAACCGTGATGCAACCACAAACCCTCAGCCCCCAAACCCTAAATCCTTGCACCCAGAAAGCCTCAGATTCGAAGCCTAAACCACTCGATCCAGAAGCCCTACTTCTACTTGGAGGATCATGGGACTTAGTAAGTCAGGTTGCGGCTAAGAATCTTCACAAACAATGACCCTAGTGGCTAAGTCCCATGAGCCTTAGGTAATCGTACAGAAAAACGGTCCAACTGGCCTCGCGTGGAGAAGGTCTTCGACGGCGTCCGTGGCCGCATGTTGGTTCGTTCCTGGCCTTCCCGCCTGCGGAGGAACGGCTTCCTATGTTTGTTGAACTATTCGTGCGTTCTGTGGAGATGTATAAGGCGGAAAGGGTGACTGGCGGGCATTCATAGATTTGTCCAAGCTTCTAGGCGTTTTTGCTAGCTTGTTTGGGCGACTCTTCACCGCTGTTTTTTATCGACCTATAACGAGGGTCATCGACACAAGCTTAGCTTGAGCATTCAGGGCCTCAGGTTGCTTTGGATTTCGAGGTTTGGGGTAAGGACCTGGACCCCAAATAACCTGCCTTCTTAGGGTTCCTTATTATAGTTTCTTTATATAAGTCCTTAAAAAGGTAAGTTCTTTGGGGTTCAGGGATGCCTTGAAATTCACCCAAGACCAATCTGAGGCAACGTATGAACGGCACCCAGCGCAGTCCAGCTGTTGACAAAGACAAAGAGCTACATGTTCCAGCATTCAGTTCGCGCTGTGTGGTTTCCGACTAAGGTTGAGTAAAGGAGCTTCAAGAGGCATGCGGGCAGTCCGTCTCGTGGTTCCCACTGCAATCACCACAAGTACAACTCTAGCAGGCCTGAACCCATTCTCGAAGGTGTCGTTTGGCTACCTCACCCTGCTGCTTTTGCTTGGTGCTCCACGACCATGCCCCAAACCGTGGCACCTCAACCCTTGCCCACTTTGAC